CCCCCCCCCCCCACCCCCCCCCTGCTCTTATTTTCCCACCAACTCGAGACAGAGCCCTGCGTGATGCCGGGGAGCCCTACGATGCCATCCGGACCCGGCTTCGCGAGGAGCGCAGCGGCGGTGCCGGCGTCGCCGGCGCTGACTCGCCTTCTTCTGCTGCCGCCACCGGCGCATCCCCATCGTCAACATGGATCACCCGGACGTACGTTGTGCGGGACCTCCGGATGGGAGGGTCTCGCGCCATCCGCGAGGTAAGCTTGGTCTGCGCCCGGCGAAACAAATTGCCGACCTTGTCTACCCAGGAAGAGGGCGGAGAAAAGGCGGCGGCGGGATCGGCGTGGTCCGCCCTCCGGGGTGGAAGGCGCCTCGAAGACAGCGGTGGCGGCGGTAGCAACGCCGGGGGGAAGAGCGGGGCCGAACGGAGGGGAGTTGCAGGGCTAGCGGCGTATCGCGCTTTCCTGGGCGAGGTAGCAATCGGTCCCTGGCGGCGGGAAACGCCCTCCACGTTCGGGAGGGTCGAGGGCCTGCGCGCGAAAGAGGTGGCGTGTTTCTACGGCGAGGGCGAGACCGGCGGCGGCGGCGGCGGCGGCGTCACCGTCGACCTATCCCTTGCCTGGGAATCCGAAGGCTGCGTCGGCAGGGGCAGGGGTTTTGTCAAGAAGGACGACGGCGTATTTGGTGCCGGGTCTCCGTGGACCACGCTCCACTGCGACATCTGGGGGGCGTACGGCGGAGAAGAAGAGGGGGGGGGCGGCGGCAGCTGGCGGTGGCTGGGCAGGGCGTACGGGCAGAAGTACCGCCTGACGAACCTTCGGGTTGGTGGTGGTGGGGGTTGCCGCGAGGGAGGGGCAACGGGCGAGGCAGCCAGCGGGTCGTCGCTGGTGCTCGCGGTGCAGCAGGTCAACGCGATGGGGTATAGAGAGGTGAGCGAGCGGCCTTGAGACCTGTCACGAAATAGGCTGCTAATGGTGATGTGTGATGTGTCACGTGGGGCGGAGGGGAAGGCCGCTCGGAGGTTGTTTCGCCATCGCGATGTCGATCGGGTGTTTGCTTGCAGACCGCCGTCCTGGGAGAGGTTTCCGCACTGCGCCCACGCTGTAAGCTCTCCGCACTGCTCTACTACAGAGTGTCAGCATCATGTGCACTCAATCGGCATGGACGATGCGCATTGCCCACAAGACACCGCATTTCCCCCACATCCAAGGCGTGAATGATGCATCCCAACCGTCAGACCTTTCCCTGCCTGCACCTAAACCCCGCCCCGAACGGACGGACGTGTTTCTGCATTTCTGCATCGCCGCCCTTGTTCTTTCCGCGTGTCCCTTTGTCTGCACGCACGCGCAACGAAACGCACAGCCTGTTGAAGACTGGGCCCGGCTGCACCTGTGTCTGCCCTGATGATTCCCACCGCGGCCTCCCCCAGCTGCTGCTGGTCGCTTCCGAGATTGACGCCTCCTCAATGCGCATATTGCCTGCAGAAGGTTGTCGATGTTGTTGTTTATCAATATGTAGCGTTCCGGTCTCTACTCAGTACCTTTTGACATGGGTACAGGTCCAACTGACGCGCGGACGCTTTCCGTTGCCACAGGCCAAAAGTAGCGGAGCGTGCGAAAAAGTCTTGGGTACGACTATATTCGCTTGTGCGCGGTTTCTACTGTGCTAGGTCGCACGCGCGCATATTTGTTTTTTTAACTATCACGAGGTGTCGTTCGAGTGAAAAATGGAGGAATCGCTATTAATAAGGCATATCGCCATTGTGAACGTGTCATGGGTGTTGGTGGTCTCCATGGTGAAACGGACGGAGGTTGCTTTGGTGCGCGCTGTGTTGCCGTAATGGTTGTGGTGGGCGAACGTGCTGCATCTCAGCGAAGGGGGCAGGATTGATACGAGGAGGGGGTATACCCCTCTTACTTTTGTCGAGATTTTTTCCACGTTCAGCGGGTACGCCGAGCTAGCCCCGTAAAAGAGAAGAGATATGGGAAGAGCCACCATCCTACGGCTCTTTACCGTCCCCTAGATGGAGAGGGGATGGGTATGTTTTTTCCGAAACAACCGACCCTTGGTGCTTTGGCGACCCCGCTCAAAGTGCCACTCCCTCTGCTTCTACAAGCCCATGCCAATTTGTTTTTAGCATGTGTGTCAACACAATTTTGAACGCGTGCCTCCGACAGAGAGGGGTATGCGCAACAAAAGAACAAGGACAGACTTCCCATGTCACACCGAGGTTTGAATGACAAATAATTTCAGGCGGTTGTGATTCCACGCAAACGCGGCAGCACTCGAGACCACCCAAGGTACTGCTGTGCAGGGGTCTAACCTGTGCGGCAAGGGCTGCGCTGAATCCCCTCCTCCTCCCAAGATCAGACTAGACCCATGTATTCGAGCCAACAGGCATCGCCGCGGCGCGACAAGACACAAAAAAACACAAACAAACGATTAAAAACTAGGTTCCAAACTCAAACCAAGTGGACCAAAACCCAACCTCAGGTTTGCCCCCTCGTTCTACCCTGCAAATGCATCTCTGGCGTGCGCGCTCTTTGCTGTATAGCAAGGCCGACAGCAGAGTCTCATGATCCCCCTCAGCATGCAGTGAACAGCGAACCGTTTTCAACGACAATCAGATTCGCTGGCGTGCGTTCAAGGCGCATAGCCCAGAAAGGCGACAACACAAAACGAGAATAAAATCGACGACACCTCGGGGCATGTCGGGTGTCAACCCTTGCTGCCTTTCCACACAATGAAACCGTGTTTCGTGAATATCTAGTACACAAACGATACTGGTATTGATTTTGTGTCGCCCCAAAACGCGATTTACAAGAAACATGAAGAAAAAATCTACAACACCTAGAGGCACAGTTCGGGTCAAACCTTGCCGCCGTCAGCGATACTGTTTTCTTTTCGTATGGCCAACAGCAATGGCTAAAAGGCCAAAGTCGCCGACTTCACCGCACCCAACAAACTAACGGTCGTGACATGAACTCAAGCTTGTGCCCACACTCGCATTCTCACCCACTCCTCTATGTTACCCTTCCGCAGGAGGCGCAATGCACTACATTCCGTCATGTGCCGACAAAGTTCACGCCACAAGGGCCCGACCAAGGACTATTACTGCATTCATTTCAGCCAAAGCGCGAGGCAGTGTATCATCTGCTACCTTCTTCGCCAAACAGCATGAACCGCTAAGAACTCATACCCGAGCCCTCTCCACACCACGCCCTCCAGCATCAGATACGGCATTGCACATTGAACACCCCCGGGGACGGATTAGTCACATCCCCGCTCGTCGGCTGCCGCCTACCGCCTGTTCGATCGCCCGCCGCCCCCTCCAGCTGTCACACCTAATTCACTACTGGAACCTAGTGTGACAGGCACAATTGCCCTGTCAACCTAGCCAACATGGTTTGGTACGGAAAAATCGTGCGTTACAACGCTGCCGCCGCCTTGCACACGAACAGAAACGAAATAAACAAACAAACAAAAAATGCACAACAGAACACAAACAAAACGCGATTCATCATTTGTCTTCGGCTCTATAACGTCCACATCCATCGGGTGCTGAGTCAGCCATTCTCTACTCGCTGGTTTTCACGCCGCAAACGCCGCCAAATATGTAGTGTACAGTAGGACGGTCCGCCAACACCACCACAAAGCTAAATGTAGGGCGGCACGTGCAATACACCCAAGTTCTCGGACATCGCCTCGCGCAGTCGGGGCCATCAGCCAACACCCCGTCCGAAACGCCACGTCGACCCAACGGTTTTCGTGCAAAAAATCCAGCAAAACACACTTGAGGATGATGGACGATAGCCAGAAAATACATACACACACGAACGCTGTGCATAAATTGAAAACAACAACAAACGCAACAAATACACAAGGCCCGTGCCAATGCTTACATCGCAGGCGAAAATTGTGGCCATTGCCACCTACCCATCGATCGCGTGCGAAACAAAACAAGTCCTTCCTGACGGTAGATATCTGAAGCCGCCAAAACGAGCGTCCCTCGCTTTCTGTGTCCCCTCTCCTACCCCAAGCTATGATCACTCTTTTTAGAGGAGCCATGTAGAATCTTTCCAAACGAGGAGTGCCTGTTGTCCGTGTTCAACACCACAAAAGAGCGCTGTCGCGACAATGATACCCCGCTCTGCACCCACTTTCACTCCCCACAACGCGCTTATCGCCAGACGGGCATCTACTACTGTAGTCCATGCCATGTCCACAAAGGCACTAGCGGAACCGGTAGGAGCCGCAGGACCGCTGCGTGCACGAGACAACTACAACCAACGCCCCGTAGCAAAATATGGTTCCCCTGCTGATAAAGACGTGGGACCTAGGAAAGGAGAGAACAGCTACGCACCAAGTACCCCCGCTGCCAACGCGGTGCCACAAAAGAAGGAGAAAAAATAACACGACAAAAATACCAAGAAAAAACCAAAAAACGTTAAGGAGGGCTCAGTAGGCCAATGCACAACAATTGTGCGGTAACTTGTTAAAAACAAACGACTTGACACATGAAACCAAAATATTGTATCACCACGGCATTCACCATGTACCATCTACGCCCCCGACAAGCTAGGACCGGCGGAAGTGGAACCGAGGCAAAAGACCTGTCGATGTCGCTTCCCAAACCAAAAGCTCACGAAAGCATGCAAAATGTGTGCATCCATCACTATCACTCTTCCAAGGCAGCAATCACCACCGGCATCTTCCAAGCACCAATTCAGGACCCGGAGGGGACACAACGGGTTGGCTAAAAAAAAAGCTGAAACGTCCTGCCTGTCGTACGGCATATTGTTAAAATGGAGACAGCACAAACATCGAGGCTAGCTTCTGGCACAGCCGGCACACGCCAGTCCGGCTCTTGTTCTCCCTGAAAAAACAACAACAACGGAATGTCTGGGCTTTGGAAGAAATGAGATATTTTCCTGCCCAATGAAAACATCCAACAATGATACGCAACTCCTTGAGCGCCGCCACGGACACAACGACACTCCTCTTACCGGTGTCTCTGCAATTCGCCTTCTCACCTCCTGCCACCCGGGAAGCCTCCTTAACAAAGCTTGTCGCAGAAAATATACAAACTTAACGACCCACCGCCGTTCTCGTAGACGCGTGAATAGAAAAAAATACCTTCCACCAACATGGGGGTGGCGCGGCTTCAAAATTCCCGCTGCCCCACGCCGTCATCAAGGCTCCTCTCTTCTTTTTAAAATACCTCTTTTTTGTTCTACCGGTGCTCTCGTTCTATTCGCGCTGCAGCAGCAGCAGCCTCAAAACAGCTGCTCTCAACACGGACACCAACTCCCCCACGCTGCCCTTCACGCAGCCATCCTGATCCCTCGTTGCTGCTCAGCGGCCGGAGCAACGGCGGCTTCCACGTCCCTCATCATCTGCGGCGAGACTTCCTCCCCGTGGGTGCGTGCCCACAGCAAGAAGTACCCGATGCGCTTCTCCACCTTGCCCAGCTCCCGCGCCGCCTTGCGCTGCGCCTTCCGGCCGGCGGCGGGCAGGAAGGACTTGGCCATGGAAGGGGCGAGCGTGCGACCGGCGGCCTCGAGCATCACCCACGCGTCTTGGAACGCGCAGATGAGCTTGCGGGGGTCACTGCACACCTGGAGCACGTCCTGTTTTGGGGTTGTGTTGGATGGGAAAAGGGGGTTCACGTTCCGGCTTGAGTTGGGGCGGGGGCGGTATTGGAATTGTACTAAATAGTGGAATGCCGCGGGTACAGAATGTCCCTTCACCGAGAGGGTTGCTTGCTTGCTGGTGAGACCACCGTAGCTCGGGCGGGGGGGGGGGGTGTACTCATAGTCGTGCATGCCGTAGTCGTTAGACCATTGACCTCGCATCCCTACAAAGCCGGGACGGAGCACGCCGGGTTCTCACCGGACCAGGCTCTCACATCACCAAGCGCGAAGCGCCGTGAAGTATTTGGCGAGTCGCATGAAGGGTGAGCTGCATCCTTCTAAGGGTGTTCGGCATCTTGTGCTTACTTCCTTGCGTACGGATGGCAGCTACGTATGACTTAATTTATTTTCTGGTGCTTTCACTTCCAGAGACAGTTGTAAGCACTGTGTAACTGCCTCGAGGATGCTTGACCATTTTAACACAACGGTGGTGCGATCATCCCCCGTTGCGCGGAGTGAGGTTTCTCGACCCCGCACAACATGATCTTCTCGACCACCATTATGGTTACCGCCAAAAAAAAAACCGAGGTAAAAAAAAAAAACGGTAACCTGGTTGCCGAGTTCACGAAGTGAATTGGCTTGTTTTACAACGTCGTTGCCAAGCGACGAAAACCCAATCCCGATGGCAAACACCGAGTGGGGGGCTTGTTTTACAACGTCGTTGCCAAGCGACGAAAACCCAAACCCCGATGGCAAACACCGGGGGGGGCGGCTTGTTTTACAACGTCAGTTGCCAAGCGACGAAAACCCAACCCCGATGGCAAACACCAGGGGGGGGGGGGGGGGGGGGGGGAAAAAGAACCCCAAAAAAAAAAAAACCCGGGGGGAGGGATGGGCCAAAGGGAAAAATTCCCCCCGGGGTACCCCAAAAAAAAAAAAAAAGGGGGCCCCAGGGGCCCCCTTGGGCCAAACCAATAAAAACCCAAAATTGAAAACCCCTGAAAAAAAAAGGGGAACCCGGGAACCCCCCCCCCCCCCCCCCCCTGGGAAAAAAAAGGGGGGGGCCCCCTAAAATTTTCTAAAAAAACCTGGGCGGGGAAAAAAAAAACAAAGCCTTTCCCCG